TCTACACAACAATGCGTGGGCAATCCGTAGTTGTTATATGATTAAGTTCTTAAAAGATTATAGTCATCTGGATCTATTCTACTAATCACACGTGATTATGCATTCGTTCGGTTAAGGTTTTTGTGATTATGCAATCCCTACTATTCCTTAATTTCCTTAATTATTGTTGAAAGGTTAATGTATATTTGACTGTCACCTTATCATTTGGTTAGTTTGAATTCGACAAACTCATGAAAATGAGATGGATTTAAGGTTTTTTTTATTAAAATTTGGGTAAACCGTTTGTTTGACCAAACCAAATCAAAAATTAAAAATAATGCCTATCAGTTTCTTCTCAATAACTTTTGTTCGATTTATTTGTCTAATAAGCCTCACAAGTTACAATCATGGTAAAAAGCCCACTTACACTCTTCTCCATAGTAGAAGCGTTGGATTATCTTCCTACGTATTTAATCCAACGGTTCATATCAAATCTGATTAGAAAGTCTCTCAACCATCAGATTCATCTCTCCCCCATTCTCGTCAAAACCTCACCAAAATCTCTGAACCCAAACACAATCGGCGATCCTCTTTGTGTCCGTAAACCCTAAATCCGACCGGTAAGTCTCTCTTCCTATCCCTAATTGTCTAAACCCTTTAAAATCCATTCCCGATTATCTCATTCTAGACTGTGTTTTGCATTTCGAAAGATGGCAAGTGAAGAAACGAAAGATCCATGGAAAGGAGAAGAGTGGGGAAGTGAGAATCAGTCGACGAAGAAGAAGAGTAAGCCAAGTGGGGAGGCTAAAATGGTGACGAGAGCGAGAAAACAAATGCCGAGGGGACTTGAAGAGAAATACGAAGCTTATTTCCTTCCAAGGAAGCCATGGCCTAAAGCTCTTGCCTTTTATGGAAGTTTTATCCTTGGTGGGATTGGTGCTGGTATGCTTCTTGAGGCTTGGATCAACAAGAAAGTCAAAGGTTCCTCTTTTTTTTTCAATCCCCATTACTTCTAGTTGATTTAGAGGCATTTTGTTTGCATTATGGAGGAATTTAACATGATTTATCCTCACGATCCAATGATTATGTATGCTTGCTTGAGATATCTAGTTGTTAGCTCTTTGATGCTTCGATTAAGACAGTGTTCTGATTCGTTGTTTGATTTCTGGAGGAAATGAACATAGTTTTGAGTAGTGATGAGCTCCTTAGGGTCCAATAGATAATAATATATACTTGCTTGATTATTGCTTGAGTTTTCTAGTTGTTAGCCACTTGATGCTTGATTGAGAGTCATACATATATGATGGATATAAAGTGAAGAAATCAGAGGCATTTGTCTGTTTCTTTGTTTGATTTCTGGAGGAAATGAACATTAGATTTGAGTAGCAATGATGATCCACTTAGAGTCCAATGATCATGTATACTTCTTCCTTCTGGTCCTGTTGGGTGCTATAAGTGTTACAAGGATAAGCCTCTGCATGTCAGTTTCATTTGTCTGACAATATAGATGTGATTGCGGGTGATATAGCTTAGCATCAAGATGTGATTGCTGGTGATATAGCTTAGCATCAAGATGTGACGTTGAGACATAATTGTGATATGATAATGTGGAATTTATCATTGTGGTTGTGACATTTGAGCCATGATTGTTGTAACATTGAGTTGATCATTTGTGGTAGTGTTTGTTTTGTTATGATGTGCATGACAGAGAGTTAGGTTACTAATAAATGTAAACATATGTGGGTTTTGTGGATGTTGCAGAGGATGGAGGAGTGATATGGGAGTTTGACAAATGAAGAAGCTATAAGTATGGAAACTGTTGCAGTTGGGAGAGGATAAAGTCATCTTTGTGTGGTCTCTTTGATGATAGCTAGGAAATGAAGAAATAGAGAATTGCAAGTCAAAAAATGAAGTACACATGTGACTTGTGTATATGCATCGCTATCAAGTACCACTATGAGAAGTAGTATCACTCTTCTTTCAATCTCTTTTATTTTTTGTCGGTTTTTATTTGCTATATGCATAAATTAAAGGGTTAATTATGTAGATTTCCTAAATTTTACTTGCAAAAGGTGTCGTTGGATAATATAACATAATATATGTTTATGTTTAAAACACACTCAAATAACAGAAATATGTTTTTCAAAACTCCAAAATGTATTTGATGCTGTTCTATGTGTTCTTGTTGCTTCATAAGGGTTAATTATGTCGTATTATGATCATGCAAATGCTATATGCTTCTTCTATGGATTTTGAGATCACAATTAGAAGATCTTGTTGTCTTCCGGCATATAAAACCGAATTTCAATGTTTCGATATCTCCCAAAGAAATCAAGGAATTGCATTTTTGATTCAAATCTATTTTATAACTTGTGATGATTATGTAAAACACTATCATCAACTTGGGATAAATATATGTGTTATACAAACTCAAAAGTTATCAATGTACAAATGGAAAAAAAATGTCCCAAAGAAACCTCATCTTTTGAAAAGTGTAATTGCCTAAATAATCTAAACAGAGGGAAAATAATTCAATTAAAGATTTTAAAAATTGTATCAATTCTCTATGTTTTTTTATAATCCTAAAATAATTTAGATGTTATTTATAAAAATTGTGTAGATTTCTAAAATCTTTGAGGGGTGTGTAATGAAATAATTGGAAAGAAAATAGCTTTGCATCATGAATCCGATTCCGACCCGTAATGTAACAAATTTGTATTTACTATTATACCCCTGTCATTCTATTTTGTGTGACCGGAGAGGAACTATTCTTTCGACGATCATCAGCTTCTGGAGATCTCTTCTTGGAATCGAGCTTCTCTGTTGCAGATTTGAGTTTTCCGATTAAAAATGGTAACAATCAGTCGCTATC